ACTTTTGTGACTGCCCTTGGCTCCCAGCTCACCTTTCCTGAGGGTGCACCTTGCTCTTGCCGCTCCCTAACAAGGGAAATAGAAACCTGTCTCATCTTCAGACCTGCAGGATTCTGCCACAGGATGAGGTTACTAAGAAGAAAGACTGCTTTATCTATTCATGGTTTTCTCTTTCAAGTCTGTGGCAATCTCAGACCTTGGAAGATAGGCCTGCGCAGTTAAAATTTGAGGAATAAATGTCTAAAAGGCAGATCTTACAAATATTTATTCACATGCTTGGCCTCTACTGCTAAGCATATGCAGACAGGATGTGTGGGCTGGCGCGCTTTTTTTTTTTTTTCTAAACCCAGAGCCCATACTCCTTGAGCTGAAACCATCAGCACAATCAAGTATGCGTAATTCCTGGGAGTCAAATTAGCAAAAACATAGTCATCAAGCATCCTAGAGCAGCCTCTTTACTGAGACAACATTGCGCGTTCCCTTTCAGCTGCAAGCTACTGATGCAACTTGTTTTTTGAGTCTTTGCCGAACACCAGCTGTCAAGACCAGGAGAACAGTAGCTGGTCTCATGTACAAATGGACCTTTCACCTAATGACCAGAGTGACGGAGTGTATGTGGGTTAGCAGGTGTGGAAAATAACGTATGCTATAAGTAGGACAGGAGTGAAAAAATTTTTTTGCTTGTTTGTCTATATCTATATCTAGAAATTTGGGTGCATGTATATGTGTATGTATGGTCAGTCTTATTTCTACTTCCTGAAAAGAGATCCTAGGCTGTCAGCCCAGCATAATACCTATGCAGAAAATTCAATTCCCTACCCCCAGTTTCAGTAAGACAACTTAGGCTGAATCTTGGAAATAGCTGTAAAATAAAAGTTATTGCACCAGAATATTATAATCAAGAGGTCTCCATGGACAGCCTGTCATCCCAACGATAGGAACTTTGTAATTAAGCAAAGATGCCTTTTCAAAGCTGAAACAATTTTTAAGTGCCCCTGCTTCCTTCATCCCATCAAGGAGTCTGCAGTTGCACTGAACTCCTAACAACAAAAGGTTTTAGAGGAGTTCAATTGAACTGGAAGTTTAAAAGTCTAGACACTCTGTAACATGAAGCCTGCAGAAAACACATTTGAAAAAATGTTTGAAGAGTCTTTACATAGTTTTGCACTACTACAAACATCTTTGAAAGGAAAAGTGCAGGCAGCACCCCAAGCATTGCTGAGGAGACCTGATAGCCATGCATTTCCATGAGAAGCTCCACATTACTCGCAGGCAAAGCAATTAAGCTTTTGTAGCTGAACTTACCCAAGTTCCTGTTTGAACATCTCAATTACACTGATTTCATGATTAACCTTGTTCCAATTAATGGAAAAGAAAAAAAAAAAAAAAGGAAACCAAGGGCAAAATATTGGACAAACTGTTTAAGCTAATGAGGGAGGACACCTGGTGCTTGCGAAGCAGCTGGTAATAAGAGCCTGGAGGAGAATAAATGGAAAACAGTACTTCTGGTAAGTAAAAAATTCAACCACATTCAACCACAGGAGCGAACCTCGGCGCTCATTCCCTGGTCACCTGCTCTACTATATTCTGGAACAAAACTAGTTGCAACAGTCCATGTGCAGTAAATAATTGCTCCTGGAGGACCACTAATTGAGCAATGCTGTCCACTAGACTCCTGTAGGAGCTCCATATCTAGGAGACCTGGAGACAGGTCCACCAAGAACACTTAGTCTGGGCCAAGTTGAGCTAGATAGCCTATCTAGCTGCAACATGAAAGCGAGATCTCCAGGAGATCAAGCAGCAGACATACAGGCATGTATGTTCTCACTCTTGGTTGTCTTTCTGGGACAAAAAGGTTCTCCCAAAATGGCCCACTGCTCATCCTTCCTGCTGTCCCTATGTGCATGATTAGGAGAGACTGTGGAAGATGTAGGACAGAGTATGTCCTCAGTTGTTGCTCTTTATACTCCCCACCCTCTTTTCAAAGGTAAAGGAATTGTATGTTAAGCTGAATTGTATGTTGTGGACTTGGAAATGGGGCTCATCCCCACCAATTATGAGGAATTTAGTAAGAAACAGCATGAACCAGAGGTAAAGGTGCTGTCGTGGAGGGTGTCCAAAGTTCTTGTGCAACTGCAGCATCAAAAGAAAAGTTTTAAACGTTGCTTGTGTTACATGCATAAATACCAGGAAAAAAACAAACAAACAAAAACAAAACAGCACAGAGGGCCCTGAGAAGCAAAGACAAAAGATGGATTAGCAAGGTATGATTCAGCAGTTGTTGCCTGCCCATGTACAACGCAGACACACACACAGAAAAAAAAATAGCCAAAATCTACTGACCAGGCAGAGCGTGAAGTGCCCAGATACAATGCAGCCAGACCTGCATGAGAAGAGTTGAGACAGGGGCGTGTGTGGGGAGCTGCCTACAAGCATAGCACTTTTGGGTAATGCCATTCAGTAGGCTGGCTGTGTGCCTGGTGTGGAAAATAAATCAGAAACAGGAGCGGAGCCAGAGAGTGCTGGGGAGTTCACCTGGGCAGCTGCCACTTGGCATCTCTGTGTAGAGATAACACCCGGCACTCTTCTTTCCCTTACTGTCCAGATATGGGTAACCATGCTGTCCATCGCAATGCTTTGCTCCTTCCTTGAATGACTGCAGGATAGGCTGATACTCCACGGAAAGGCCGGAGTCCCGTTAGCTGACAGGGGAGAAGGGTGGCTCCCTTTCAGAATCGGCACCATTTTGGTCACTCTGTGGTGAGGGCACTATAGAAATGCAGCGTATTTCCCACAGTAAAGCGGCAATGGAAGTATTTATCTTCCTGACAGGGTGGGAGGTAGAGAGTTGTAGAAACAATAAAGGCAAAGTGTGAGGCTTTTCAAGATCTAGTCCTCCTTAGAAAACCCATGCATCTGTAGACTAAGCTTCAAAAGAGAGAGAGGGACAACTTTTTGTCATGCAGAAGGGGATGATTGCTCACTGGTAAAAAGAGTAAAACCCAGAGTTCTACTTTCATATAATTAAGAATGCCCCCAAAATTTTAACATTTTAAACAACATCTTTTTGAGGAACTAACAGCAATACTACAGCCAAGGGGCTGTAGTATTTATTTCCTTTTTAGGCTGTCTATTCCTCATCATTTATTCTTCTCTGTTAAAAATTTACCAAGTCTTTCAGCCATATGCGTGCTACTGCTTGTGAGGCTGTAGTCTAGAAATAATGCAGTTTAAGGTGAACCCTCCAAAATCTGTCCTTTAAAAAAGGCACATAATTTTATGGATCTAATTTAGGGCACAACCACACGAACAATTAATCAGCACAGTGACACTGATTCAGGCTCCGGGGGCAGATATGAGTAGAGTGAAACCAAATGACTTAAACTGGATCTACTGCCAAGAGTATGAAGCTGTGCCCTCTGTGTTAGGAGTGGGTAGTTAAAGGAGGTGTGGATATTTCTGGATTAATCAGCCAACCCTTTCATTCACACTGCTTCTGTTCACAGCTTGCTTGTTCCCTCAGGATCCTAGGCCGTTCAAGCTGGGCCTTCTCTTTGGCCTTAGCCATTTCCCCCACCAGGGTGCTCATCTCTTTGTGAAAACTCATTGTAAGTGTGAGGCCTGTATGCAATTATGAAAATTAAAATTCTACAGCACAATAGATTTGATCACTTCATTTTCTTGCCTGCAGCACAGTGTGATTTCTTCCCCTGTTTGGCTTTGTGGGTGGAAGAGGCATTCCAGCATACACTATTGCATTTATTGTAGTGAGTTTTTCTGCACTAGACATACTAAAATCTTTATTATTAACTGCCAATTCCCTCCTCCTTCGTACCAAGTGGTTGTCTGAGATAGAATTCCTTTTAAGGACAGACTCCCTGTAGTAGTAATATTCTCCTCTTCAAAGAAAGCAAGATCTTTTCAGAGGTCAGTTCCTTCTACTTTCTCATAATTCTGCCTCCCCCATATTCCTTAGAAAGTCATTGTTAAACAGGACTTCAAAACCACTCTCAAAGAATCAAAAAAATCTCCAATCAATGTCATAATCACCTCCTTGTAATCATTAACAAGTCAAAATCACATTGTCTGAGTTAAAAAGTTTTATACAAGAAAAAATGTTTAACATTTAATATAAAATCAAATTTTGACATTGCTTATTTTTCAAACATCCTCTTTCTCTCCATCAATTGACAATTATAAGATCACAATTAAAAAAATCATTCTAAATACTTTAAAAAGCCTTATAAAAACATTCAGAAAGTGCCACCCACAAAAGCATCTTAACCAGAATTTGAGAGAAATACCTATTAGGATGTTAATTGTCAAAATTGCTGCTGAGGACTAGGTTGTCGAATAGCAGCAGGATGTGTGGAACTGTCAAATGAACTAACATATAACCCAGCAAAACACAGTTCCATAGACATGACCTCAACAGAGTGTCAGGTGGGTCTACAACGGGTATGTGGAGACACCCAACATATCGTTGTGAGGTTTTAAAATAAATAGATGCTAACATCACCTAAAACCAGTACAGGCGAGCGGGAGATGTAGACTCTAAGCGGGAGCCATCATCCCAAGCTGTGGCCTTATCACAATGGCAAACCCAAGGCAGCTTGTACAGGACACAGTTATAGATGTTAGCTGTGCTTTTCTACTTTTTTTTTTTTTTTTAAACAGGGATAAAAATCACTTCCCAGTGAAAATAACAGTAAAGGCACTGATCCTTGGAACACTTCTATGTTCTCCTTTCTGGATTTGAATGTACCATAAGCACCTTTCTTGTCTTCATCCCCTACAGAGAAGCTCAGAACTACCACCACACAGCACTAGTTCCTGCTGCAGCAGCCTCCCTCCCTGCTTGAGTGTGTGGGCAACACTCACCCCCAGGTTTAACCAGAGGGGAAGGGGGAAGGCTCTGAGGACTCCCACCCTCAACATTCAACATTCATGCCCCAATGGGTGTTCCTGCCCCAGGGAGCAGCTGCGTGCCTCTTCAGCACCAGGGACCTGCCTAGTGTCCACAGAGCCTTTACCCTCTACCCCAACTGCTCTGTATGGTGCTTCTGGTGGCGCACCAGCTGGGGCTGGAAGCGAAAGCTTTCCCCACACTGGCTGCAGTGGTACGGCTGCTCACCGGTGTGGATGCGGGTGTGCTTGATGAGGTTGGAGTTTCCGCTGAAGCCCCGGCCGCACTGACTGCATTTGTAAGGCTTCTCACCCGTGTGGGTGCGCGCGTGGTTGATGAGGTCAGAGCTCTGCCCAAAACGTTTGCCGCACTGCCCACACGCGTAGGGCCGAACCCCGTCGTGCGCCCGCTGGTGCTGCAGGAGGTGGGAGCGCTGGCTGAAGCTCTTCCCGCAGGCTGGACACTTGTAGGGCCGCTCCCCTGTGTGCATGCGTTGGTGTTTGATGCAGGTGGAGCTGTCACTGAAGATTTTCCCACACTCGCCGCACACGTAAGGCTTGAGCCCGGTGTGGATGCGCTGGTGCTTGAGGAGGTTGGAGCTCTGGCTGAAGCTCTTTCCACACTCGGCGCAGGTGTAGGGTTTTTGGCCCGTGTGGACCCGCCGGTGCTGGATGAGGTGGGAGCTCTGGCTGAAGCCCTTGCCGCACTCCCCGCACAGGAACGGGCGCTCGCCCGTGTGCATGCGCTGGTGCTGGATGAGGTGGATGCTCCGACTGAAGCCCTTGCCACACTCGGAGCAAATGGTGGGCCGCTCTGCGCGTGGGGCTCGTCGTGGAGCTGCTGCTTGCCCTTTCTCCTGTCTTTTCACCAGGCTGCCATCAGAGCAAGGTGGCTTAGTCACCTCTTCCTCCTTCTCACTGCCACCAATCTGCACCTCTGGGGAACTGTGCTGACTTGCATAGCTATCCCCCGAGACCTCCTCTCCTCCCCTGCACCCTGCTGCCAACGAGTCTGGCTGATCTGCATTTGCATCATCTCCCGGAAAGGGACCTGCCTCATCACCTGAAAAAAAATATAGAAGTCTAATTGTGAATAATGCTGGAAAGTGGCATGGCAGAGAATGGGCAAGCTGCTCTCTCAAGGAGCCTGGTCTACACTTTTCTCTGTATGTAAAAAAGGAAAGTGAAGGGTGGTGACAGACAAAAGTTCAGCAGTAGAGAGGTTGTATGGCTATGAGAGCCCAGCCTAACCATGCAAAGCTGAGCAGAGGTGTCACACTTAGCACTGCTGAGGACAAGGGTACAGGCATTTCCTAGCCCCCAGGAAATCTTTGTGTTTTGTCTTCTTTAGAGGATATGTGAGAAGACAGAATATTAAAAGTGGACTGACAAAGACAGGCTGCCTGCTTGCCCTAAAGGGCAAAAAGCAGATCACAACATAAGGCTGATAGAAAGTGGCTTGAATAACCCTGTGACAGCTCAAATAGCATTTGCTTGCTTCATGTTTATGAACTTATCTAACTTCTCACCTGTGTGCATCTCCTCCAAGACCTCATGATCTTGTTCTTCTTCTTCATCCATCCTGGCCAGGCTAAGCAATCAGGAACCCTCCTCACAAAAGCAAAAAAAAAAAAAAAAATTTCGTTAGCTGAACATTTGGGAAGAGCTGCTCATACAGTATGTCTTAAAATCTACTGCCACTGCTGAACATGGAGAACAAGCCCAGTAGTTGCATAAAAGAACAGAATGAATGACTGACAGAGATGGATATCCCATGGGCTAATGAGGTATCTGATGTCAGATTTTTTTTTCTTAGAGGAAAGTCTAGGTTGCCTCTCTTCATATAAATGATATATATTAAGACATATGCTAGATGTGCAGGACTCAGCACTGGTTGACAGAAATCATAGATATAAATAAACATCAAAACCCAGCCACATCTGTATGTACAGGTGAATCACAGATATTTCTGCAATATGGCAGCCACAAGGCTAATTAGTCTTCTAAAACTATTTATCATTCCTTTAAATGAAAAATATCTTTTTAATCTCCAGAATCAGGTTTTCTACTGACTCATCTCGTGAAATCGCAGATTTTTCGCCAATATGGCAGCCACAAGGCTAATTAGTCTTCTAAAACTATTTATCATTCCTTTAAATGAAAAATATCTTTTTAATCTCCAGAATCAGGTTTTCTACTACCTCATTTTGTTGTCTACTACGATAGGACTCTACCAGGTCTCTGCTTCGCATACCTGCTGAGTTCCAACAACTACCACAAATACAATTGTTGGACAGAGGAATATTAGCATCAGCATCAAACACAAGGATTATTTTCTCCTCAATATTTCCTATTTTAAGGCCCCAAACAGCAAGCATTAGTAGGCAGCATCACGAGGGCAAGCACTGGCAGTTGTTGTAGAGAAAATTCAGAGCAGTGGAAATACAATGAGAAGAAAAAAAAGTCACACTTGCTTTTTTAAGGGAGAACTAAAGAGGGCAGAGAAAAGAAAGCAAGTGGATGTATCTAAGCCTGGAGTGTGAAGTGAGTCACAGCTACAGCTGAGACCATACCGGGTGATATTTTTAAAGCATACTGCTTAAAAAAATGCACTGTGGATTTTTTTTTAATTTCATCTTTAGTTACCTAAATGCCAGTTAGCATCACTTCAAAAACATATTCTGGGACCTCTGCTTCAAGCTACCAATCTTTGTTTATTTATGGCTGAGCCACGGGAATATTATACTTTCGATAACTACTCCAGCTTCAGTTGCAATCAACTTACTGGATAGATGGGCTCTGATGCAGGTGAACACTGCAAACTGAAGGCTACCTTGTCCTGGACCACTTCATCCATCACCAGCACCTATTTAACACGGGGCAACAGGGAACAGGGCATTACCTTTACAGTGTCGGAATCAAGGAAACTCAGATGACCTAAACATGTTTGCATCTCAGATCCTAGTGATTAAAAGGCCACCAGTCTTGGATTCTTTGACCTTGGGTGGCAATGATGTTGATGGAGAGAGAGTGAGAGGCTGGAAACTTGAATGGCAGAACCATGAAGATGAAAAAAAATATACTTTGGAAAAGCAAGAAGCCATAAAAAATTGTGACCCAAGTGCCTGCTCTAAATACCTGTAAATGCTAAAGCAGGCAGCCCCTGTGGATGCACCATACGCACCACGTTCTCCCTGCGGCCTTGATAGTAGCGCTGCGATGGCATACACAGATTTTGTAGCTGGCTCCTACAATTTATTTTACCTTGGCGGTTTACAAGCAGCTACTCGCTTCTCATTTGGACCACTCAGTTCTGCATTCCTCTCGCGCCAAGGCACAGAGGCTACGCACCTTAGCCCAGCGTGGAGCCCCCTATTTTCAGATTTCCCTGCTGCTCGGCATCCTCCAGCCCGCTCCTGCGGGGCGGCGGGCGCCGAAGCGCCCTCTGCACGGGCACCCCGGGCGCTGCAGCACAGCCCGGCGCTCCAACGGCGGCCGCGGCCTCCTCCCAGACCCGTCCCCGGGACGCTCCGTGCCTGCAGCGCCCCGGCTCGG